ACGTTTTAAAGCACAGAAAGTATTGCCTAACCCCTAACCGCCAACGAGCCTTGAATACTGGATCCCTTTATTCTCTGGGTTTAAGAGTTATAATTAGAACCTTTCCTATAGGGTTTTCCATATCTCCATGTAATGCTAAAAAAACCCCTCTTGTCTTTCCCAATAAGCCAAAGCATTGTTACCCAGACTGGAGGCAAACAATTACAGTGAGAAATGGAGACGCTGGGGTTTGAAGAGGTCTGGAGGGGTGGGTTTTGAGGCAGAAAACCTCTCCAACTTGCAATGTTCTCACTTAGCATCACTGTTTTCCCTGCAGCGTGGCTGTCCACACTTGGGCAGGCTCTGGAGGCAGAGGGTGGCTATAAAGAAAGCGAGATGGAGCTGGTTATGGACAGCAGTGAGCACATGGAGAGCACACACATGGTAAAGCCTTCGTAGATGCTCATGCACAGTGAAAAGAGCAGAGAAATGGCCCTCATCATGGTAAAATAAGACCTGATTTGGGGCAAAAAGCATGTCCAGCAGCCCAAGGGGAAGCTTGGTCTCATGGAGCCTGGCTATGGGAAAAGAGCAGGAGGAGACCCCACAGCAGCAGCCACAGGTAATGCAGCCGGGTTTACATCTCCCAGAGGAGTTCCACTGCTGGGAGATGTCTGTGTAGCTCTATTTAAAATAGCTTTAGTAGATGAGTTCTCCCTGGGGTGAAGCATCTCATCTTTCTCTCCCTAAGAAGGAAACCTCTTTCCTTGCTTAAAATCAGAGGATGGTAAAGGAAAACTTACTTCTTTTTCTTCCTAAGACAGAGAAACTCCTGTTACTAACACCGACGTCCAGGAGTGTGTTCCTCATTTATAGCCCCATGGTTATAACACACTCAGGTACACATTAATATTTCAGAATTCTCTCTTTTTATTGCAGCTTATTTTTCTTCCCTCCCACCCTGCACGTCAGAAGGTGATTGATACGTGTAAAACTGGGCCTTCAAAACACAAGTCATTGCCTGAGGTTCTTCCTATAATCAAAGCCCATGCCCACCCATAGCTAATTAGACATTAGCCTAATGTCAACTGATTGATTTAGAGCAGTCCTACCACCCACCCGAAAAAGAGCACGGAGCCCCTGACAGCAGCAACACAGGGAAAGTGGCACCTGAGGGAGGGGGAGGCTTTGCCTTTAAAAGCTCTTGATGTAAAACACATTTGTGCATGTTTATGTAAAGAAGATGCAAAACAGTTTTTCCTTCTCTGTATTGAACAAAAGGATCTGGTTAGCAGGAAAAAAGAGGTAAGGTCCATTCCAGACAAATTTAGGAGGTTTAAGCTGTGGGATGAGTTAAGTGGAGTGGAGCGTGTCACCATGCTAAGAGCAAAGGTCTCTACCCCGAGGCAAGAGCTGGCTGGTTTGCTGGGTCCAGTCTTACATTTGGCTATGATTTAGATATAATTTTTCAAAATCCTTTGCATTTTTTTCTTTTCCTTTATTTTTCCCCCCCTTCTTTTCCCTCCCCGCTCTGGATTTATGGGTCAGGAACCCTCCAAAGTTGTCTTGATGGATTAAGCAGCAATAAGTTGTATCGAGTAAATTAAAAATGAAATAGTTACAGCTGTTGGAATAGTCTCAGGGCTGGAGGACGTAAAAGACTTTCTACCCTCAAGGGGCCTGGAAGTAATCTGTGAAGCACCAGCTGCTTCAATAAAGACAGCCTGAGTGAGGGCTGGGGTCCTGAAGGATGGAGAGAGCATCCAGTGCCATTGGGCCTGAGTATGGTTTAAGGGAAACCAAGGGAGCAGCTGCCTCCAAGCTGTTTGCTCCCAGTATCCCCAGACAGTTTGGGCCAGTCCCAGATTTAATGGAGCAGAAAGGACAGGGATGGCTGGGAATAACACATGGAGGAATTTTTCATCCCAGCTCATCTCCAAACAGTGCCCATGAGGTGTCTTTGCCGTGTGCACAGTGATGTAGCCCTCTCTGCTCCCAGCACTACGTTCTGCCTCTGAATTGCTGCCCTGAGCAATGTTTAAGGTGGAATTTGTCTCTGCAGACGAGAGGAGCAGCTGAATGCTGCTGTCTGTGGTGCAATATTCCCTTTAACCCAGCAGCATATGGGGAGCGAGAGGCGGAGGGCACATCCTCAGCAGCAGAATCTGTGCAACTTCACATTTCTCAGCTATAAACCTTTCAATAGCTGGAAGTAAATCCTTCAGCTTTCTACTAGAGCTCAGCCTCTGCAGCTGCAAATTTATTTGGCAGGCAGAGAATGGGGCCAAAAGAAGTAAATAGGAGGGATGTGAGTGATAGTGCTAGGACATTACGCAAGCTCCCACATGGCTGCAGCAACTCCCAGGCTGCTAATTCCCTGCTGGAGCTCTCCTACCAGAAACTGGAGGTGTCCTTCCCAGGGTGCTGGGAAGGGAGGGGGATGCAGGACAAGGTGTTTCTGGATAGGGGTCTGCAGAGCTCAGCTCCAAGTGTGGTTTTGGGATACAAGGCTGCTCATGTGTGCTGGAGAGGTGCAAACAGAGATGATGCCCTGCTCGGTTTTGTTTATGGTCTCACGTGTATAAGTACTATAAATCTATTTCTGGCTACTGGAGTTGGGCTGGAAATTCATCCATGTATTCACATTTTATAGGTGTGCAGGTAAAAATCAGTGTGGTCTGACAGCCTGGTGATGCGAGTGCTGAGCTGGGGATGAGGTGGATGCCAGTATTCCCACTGATGTTATTCTGGTTGCTATTATTACAGTTCTTATTGCATTAACACTTTGGTCCCCTGTCATAGAGTAAGCGCCCTCAGTACTAACACAGATGTTCAACAGAATTATGAGGACTGGCCCAAAGCATCTACAATCTGACTAATACTTTTTTTCTCCCCCTTATGTATTGATGTTGCTTAATACTTTGGAATCTCGCAGCAGTTCAGCCATGGTAAGATGTTTTTATATCCTTTTTTGTACAGGGACCCTATGGGCTTGGGGGGTGGTGGTGGGTTTTGGTTTGGCTTTGCATTGCTGTTGTAATTTAAAGGGATTTCTTGCCCCCATGTTGTAAAGGGGCTCCGTCAACTCTCAAGCATATTGGCAACGTGTAGTTTTGCTTTCACGTTTGAAAAGGAGACTTCATTTGGTGGGGGTCTTTTCTGCTAATTGTCAGTGCAGCAAAACTAGCTTTGGATCTAGAAATAGCTCTAAGATGCAGTCACGTTTTCAGAAGGAGAGTGGGGGAGTAGGATCTGTATACTGAATGTGGGGGTACTGAGATAGTGCTGGGCTTCAGCACAAGCTTGCGTGGGTCTGCCTTTGTTGGGGATAACATCTAGATCCTAGACTTGAGTTGCTTGCAGGGTCTGTGCCATTGTCATCACCCCGGGAGGCAATGCCTCTAAAAGGGGCCAGTCCCCATAACTGATGGAGTGTGGGGGTCCCTTGGCAGAGCATGACCTGTCCCTCTCCCAGCAGACCCCAGTTACAGCTGGGGCTCAATAACTTACTCTGTGCTGAACGCCTGGCGATGCCACAGCCGTTACTGACGGCTCCATCCTGGGGCCCAGATGAGAACATTCATTTCACACCACAAACTTCTTCTCTCTCCATTCCCCCCCCCCCCCCTTCTTTTATCGAGTTTCAATATAATAAACAAAGGGGAGTTATTATTTCATTGGCAGACTCCAGCTAATGCACAAACTGTTTTCAGTACTGGCACACGGAGGGGCTTTTTTCACCATATACTGGCCAGTCAGACCTGTATCAGTCCTAATGGCCCAGGGAAATGGAAACTCCGATCTTTTACCTTGAAGAATAGCTGCAATTCATCCACTGCTCAGACTCCCCTCCCCTTTAATTTCTTTTATTGCTAGCACAGCAAAATGAATCATCACAGTGGCATCAAAGGAAACGTTTCCACGCTGTTGATGTACAGCAAAGGGACAGTTTCATATAACTTAGTATTTAATCTTCTCAGCCCATGGCACTGTGCTTGGTGTGAACACTTTGGTCCTCATCATAACTTTGGGCAAGTTGCTTCACTTCTCCAGGCTTCTGCTGTCTTTTTAGATGGTCCATTTGGATATAAACTTTTCCATCTGAAAGTCATGAATTTAAGCTTTATTCTTGCCTTGTGCCAAAGCCATTCCCAATAGACAGCATTGAAATTGGTACCTAATTAATTGGGACAGTTAATTAGCAGCCGAGTCCAGCTCCATCACTCTTTCGGTACTTTGGTCTTTTGCTACAGGTGCCCTTCACCATGCTGGCCTCTGGATTACAACAGGCCCTTGACTAGTTACAACTGCATGCCATATTTCATGCATTAGGTAAGCTTATTGTGTAAAGTGTAGCTATTGCTAAGCTAATGGTAGAGCATCAGCAGTAGTTAAAGCTGATAAACACTTTATTTCTATTTCTTTTTCCAAGTTAGCCTTTGAGCATTCCTTTCTGGAGCTGAAAAGATACTGAAGTTGTTAAAGTGAGTCCTTATTAAGAGCATTTTAGGAAAGCAGAGATTTTGCAGGGAACCTCACAGTGTGAGATCCAGAAGTACGTGCCAACTGCCATGGCAATGACTAGTGCATCCCAGCAGCTCACCCATGGGGTGTCAATGGGAGAACACACTTATGGAGGTGAGCTCATGAAGTGCTGCCCCTAATAACCAAGGGAATAAAAGGAAAGTGGCTCAATGCATCGGGGTAACTCCACAAGGCAAATCTACCCAGAAAAAAGCCAAGATTCATTTCTGGCTAAAATTGCTGCATTAACACTAACTGCTGCTTGATTAAGTGATTTTTTCCTGAGCTCATGATGCAAGGCATTGTCAGAGAAAGGGCTTATGCAAGGCTGCAGCAGTCCCTGCTGAACGCATGAGCCATTCAATGATCCAGCCCACCGCACACCCCGTCAGGTCTGTTACCTGCCATCAGCTCCCCCACTGGAAAAACATGCAATTTTCCAAAGGTAAGAGCGTCTTGGGTTACTAGGAACACAAATCATTACGAGTAAAACGGCATTCCCAATTTATTGTATTTGTTTTATTTATAATTTTATTACTTATTCCACATTTTCCATATTTTCCATGTGTTTCACGTCATTCTTGTCCACTCAGACCTTTACATGGAAAGTTGGGCTCTTCTCCACTGCCTAATGTGGTGAAGGCTTTATAAACAGCCTTGATTCATTGTTTGCTCTGCATGCCTCCATACTAAGAGCATGCAGCTGATGTTGTGCCTGGTATAAGTGTCAGTGTTCTCTCACTGGGGAACTAGATGGGATGAGAAGGGAAGAAAGGCAACAATTAGTGTGATAAGCAGGTGAAAATAAAGACCATCAAACTGCTCACCTAGAGTTCTAACAAAGAACAGTTTGAGCCTGTTCTGATTTGGGTTGTGTTTTCTTTCAGGGTTTTAAGTTGTCAAAGACAGAGATTTTTCCATGGGCTGCAGTCAAGGCTGAAGACTGGTCAACATGTCGCACATGCACATTTACCACCAACTGAATGATGATGAAACCCCTCCCCATACTGCTTGGACGCTTCCCTGCTCTATGCTTCTGGAAGGTAATACCATGCATTTGTGTGCCCTGTTAATTCACTATTTCCCCCTCTCCTGACTGCACAGGCTTTTCTTTCATGCTCCCATCTGACCGCAATCTGTGAGCAAACCAGGAGCATTCAGCAATGCTGCTTTTAGCTGCGCTCTCAAGGTTTTGTGGCAGCAGGAACATTAGGTCAATTTGCAAACAGCCTTGGAAAATCTGGTGCAGCATCTCTAATGCTATTGACAGGGCCTGCTTAAACCTGGCATTGCCAGGCTAACAGTTGTCATTCAGCTCTTGAGCACACTTAAACCATCTCATCTATTTTTCATCAGTCTTGCGCCCTTCGTGATAACTCCCTTATCAATTCATGAGAATGTTCATTCTCATTCAGTGCAATCCCATGGGTAACAAGTCTCATATAAACCCAGTTAATCCCTCAGATTGCAAAAGGATGCTCAGTTCCTGCAAAAGAACTCTCCATGGGTTTATTCTACATTCTGTAGTTAAGGTGACTTTTTCCTATCAAGAAACTCATAAAACAACGTCGTATTTGATGGCAGAGGAGAGGGCGAGGAGATTGGATTCAAACATCTGGCGAGGTAATTAGATTCACTAAAAAGTTTATGCTCCAAACTGCCCCTACATAATTGATGGCACTGTGGTGATGTGTCACTTCCACTTAGCAGCGGCCGGCAGCGCCTCTCGCCTCGCTGCACCCTGTGCTAACCTTCCCCGCTGACCTGCTGCGGTCCCCCTATTAAAGCCGCAATTAGGGGGTGACTCTTAATAGCGAGGTCTTGCTGCAGAGTGGGGGAAAACGTTTCTGTAGCTCACATGCAACAATTAAAGATAATTTAAAATGTAAGTAATTGCACTGGGTTTCTGGAAACTACTGTAGAGGTCTTGTCCCAGGCATCTGACAGGCATGGTGGTGTATTTTGACAAGTTTTGTGCAGATTTCCATTAAATACCAACTAGCAGCTCTATTTTCTTTGGAGTCATTGGTCAGGAAATGGAGATTGTGAAAGGTCAGGCCTGGAAGATTTGGGAGGGGATGGAGGTGTTATTCATGTTCTGATCTGTGGGGATCTAGTTCCAACATAAATGCTTCAGTCACTTGATTCTTGCTTTCTAGGTAGTCTTTAAGCAGGAGAAAGGGAAGGACTGATACACAGAGAAGAGCTTCTGGTGAGTTCCTTTCACCTCTCCCTGCCAGGCAAGCTGGGACCCAATAAGCTATCTAGAAACCTGGTGAGTCTGAGTTGAGAGACCTGGCAGACATTAATACCACAGCCACCATTGCACTAACCCTCTTATTGTGCAGAACTAGCTCTGAAACTGCAGCTCCTCCAAGCCTTCTGCAAGGTCAGCGAAGTGTGAACATCACGCCGAACGTACCCAGATACTTTCAGAGGTTCAGCAGTCCCTGAAAAGAGCTTTTTTTATGATGAAAACAGACTGTCGGATGAGTTTGGATTCTGCCACATGGTCCTAGTGATAATAAGCCATCTGTGTGCATCGTGCCGCACGGGACCTTTCCTCTCCCCATTTTGTCTCCATCACTTTCCTTCCACGTCCCCTCTCTCTGCTTTGACCTGCATTTGAGTAATGCCAGCAGTGCACATAGCAGAGTTAAATATGTACTCGGTTACCAACACGCTAACGAACAGCAAGTCCATCTACAGCAGAGGGAAAAGAAGCATGTGAAAATGGGATGATCCATCAAATGGAAAAGGACCCATCAGGAACATAATCACCTTCTGCTACACTTGACTGATTGATTGCTGCATTTGACTGGCTCCTCTCCCAGTTAGTGGGACTTTTGCTCCTAAACTGTTTGGGGTAGGGTTTTAAAAGATGTTTGGTACTGTGTGTATATGATTATGATAATGATAATGTATGTATAATAATATATAGTACATATAACTCAGGATTCTGTGATAAGGTATATAATATATAGGATTTATATAATATTTGAAAGCTGCACTTTTATTTCCTTTTCCATTGCTGGAATTATAAATAATCAAAAGCTAGACCTTATACCTCTGTATTATAGATACATTCAGCTTGTGCCACTTACGATTAATGCTAACTAAGTGTGTTTGTAAGCAGTTGCAGGATCACATTATCTGAAAGCTTTTCCTTTTGTGTAACTTTATATAAGATAAAATAGGAAATAAAAGCTATTTCTGGGACAGACCCACCCTCATTATTGCTTTCAAGTGGCTGTCTTTCTGTCTGCAGTATTTCAGATGCATTGGTAATACCATGGCAGCTCACCACAAAAAGACATTGAGGGACTTCATAAAAACCAGAAAATGAAATTAAGTATGTATAAGAAAACTAAATAGTTAAAAAAAGAGGCAAATTCAGTGAAACACACACTTAAAGTGCACGACCACAGAGAAAATGCATCAAACTTTCATTTTTCCTCCTTTCTAAACCAAAATGATCCCAAATACGAATATCCCTGAGCCCCTGCTCTCTACATTTACCCCAGTGTGGTGTTTTTAATGAGGAACTCAAAGAGATTACCCTTGAAATGAGAAGAGAGCTGTGGTTCTTTAGTTCATCATGACCCAAGCATCCCTTCTGCGATGCCTGGATCCTTACGGATGAACCAGAAGGACCAGAAATGGCGTTGGCCTTGGTTTTTGTAACCCAGAATTGCTTTTTTTCTCTTTCTTTCTACTCAAAAGGTCCCCGATGTGCTCAGACACAACACGGCACACAGGGCAGTGACCCAGACGGGGGGAAGAGGGTCTGCGCCCTCCGCAGAGCCGCGGCTGAGTGCGCCTGACAAATGCCACCGCGTGGCACCGAGCAGAGACAGGCGCTGCAAAAAGCATTCCTGGGGCCATTTCCTGGTGCCTCTCCAAGCTGACAGAGAGAGGAGGTTTATATTAACATCACATGGCTGTCTTCGGCTGCGTTTGTTAGCACAGCCCGTTTGGGGAGCTTGCCATGTTGGCTGCATGGGGAACAGGATGGGGGGAGAAAAAGGCAACTGAAACATGTATTGGGTTTTAACACCCGCATCTACCTTGGTAACGCTATCAGAGCCAGGCTCCTCTGCCCCCATCCAGGCAAAGCCTTTGTAGAACACTTGGAGGGCAGCTTTTAAAACACATAACACATAGGAAACTAACACAGTGTAGAGACTTGGCAATGAGGCTGCCTCAAGGAGCCAAGTTGGGCATGGAAAAAAAAATTAAGACAACAAAAGGTCATTGCTAGCCAAGTTTTAAGTGAGTATACAATACATACCTTTTTTTTCCCCTCCTTTCTGCCTTAGTTATTGGCCAACTTGGCTAAGAGCTTATGGAAAACACTGACGTGGAATTATAATTGGGGTTGGTGTTTTTTCTCTTTTTGACCAAGCAAAAGTTCTTATAGGCAATAATTTAATTATGGCAAAAGACTAACACAGACACGGGGTTTAGGGATGTATCATCAAAAAAAACCCTCTTTTCTACACCATACTTTAAACTAAGGCTACTCCACGGGCACCAGTGATCTAATCCTACTGCTATTTATGATTTTTTGGGATTATTTATTATAAAGTATGTCATAAAGTGGAAAATCACCGGTGCCAATCACATTTCCAAGCAGGCTCATTTAGAACCCAGTGCCGTAAGTCAATTAGGATAATAAACCTGCTGGAGGGAGGAGGGGAAACCTTCTTGGGATCAGCATTTTCACCCTGCTCCTGGTGTGCTGTAAGGCAGGGATCAAACAGGAGATGCTGAACAAGTGGCTTCAATGCCACCCTTCCACTCGCCATCCGGGTGGCAGCTGTCCTCTGGATGGCTTCATCCTGCTGCGCCCCGCTCCCGCAGCCTCCTTCCTTGCCCCCAGGATGGCTGATGAAGAGCAAGCTCCTTGCTGACGTGGGTTGCTCTGTTTCGTACCTACGTGGCCTTGGGTTTTAGTTCAGCCTTTTTAGAAGGGCAGAGTTAAAAAAATCAATTAAAAGGAAATACAGGATTTTGTCCCCTCTTAGAGCTGAACTGGAGGCATCCTCCTCCCCTTCTGAAGGCTGTGGTTTTCCTGTCTAGAAGATCAGAGATCTAACGAGACGTATGACTGAGAAACATAGAATCATAGAATAGTTAGGGTTCGAAAGGACCTTAAGATCATCGAGTTCCAACCCCCCTGCCATAGGCAGGGACACCTCACACTAAACCATATTACCCAAGGCCTCATCCAGCCTGGCCTTGAACACTGCCAGGGATGGAGCATTCACAACCTCCCTGGGCAACCCATTCCAGTGCCTCACCATCCTATCAGGAAAGAATTTCCTCCTTATATCCAATCTAAACTTCCCCTGTTTAAGTTTTAACCCATTACCCCTTGTCCTACCACTACAGTCCCTAATGAAGAGTCCATCCCCAGCATCCCTATATCCCCCCTTCAGATACTGGAAGGCTGCTATGAGGTCTCCACGCAGCCTTCTCTTCTCCAGGCTGAACAGCCCCAACTTTCTCAGCCTGTCTTCATAATCCAACATGGATAATTCCAACTTGCATCTGCCCAGGCCCGGACCAGACACTTACCTGGGATAGATAGCTGCATAAAGACCTCATAGACAGCAGCCTCTGTGCGCTGAAGTACCCTGATGATGCTGGGATATTTTGATGCTAGGACACACACTCTGGATGCACGATGCTGAAGCACACGTTGGAGAGGTTGGCCTCCTACATGAGAGAGAAAAGGAGTCAGGAAGGTGTACAAAGGAAAAGAGAAAGATCTGAAGCTGGAAAGCAAAAGGATAAGCCTGAGATTAATAGGAAGCTTATAAACTGCAGGTATAGGCTGTGTTTAAATGAGAACAGTTTCCTCTTTGCCACTTGTCTATTAAAGAAGGCAATTATTTTTCAAATAGGCCTGATCTTACATTCTCATATTCTCTTGGAAATGTCCTGCCAAGTAGGATGACTTTGTTGTCTTTAAATAAGCGGAGATTTCACATTTACCTCTTTGCCATTTTTTTGGGTGTCTTCTCACAAAAATAAGAATCTAAATTTAATAAAAAATAAATATCCATTCCTATTTATGCTACGGGAAAAGGGGAGGAAGCTGCAGCAATGGAAGAAGCAAAATGCCTTCACTTTGAAGAGGTTGATTTTTTAACACAACACATTCATGGCCAAATTACCTGTGTAAAAAGGTCCCCCCAGTAATATTTCATAGCAGAGCACAGGTCACCTCCAAGCCTGTGTTGGTTGCAAGAGGTAAGCAGTGAGCAAACGGGCATGGGTTGCAAGTGGGTGGCATGGCCAGGGTAGCTGTCACACTGCTATGTGCAAACCCATGTATCTGCAGCCCATGACCTTGGCCAGCCCTCTGGGCAGGCTTCAGTGCAAGCTGGGGGGGGTCACAGCCCAACAAGCCTTGTCAAGCCCCACATGTGTAAGGTGGGTGTGCTGATCCCTAATTATACCCCTTGGGAAAGACTTACGTGACCTAACGTAGCTAGCACATAAGTCCATGCCACACATTTCAGATGGCATTTGCTGGCTGGCATGACTGGATCTGCACTGCAGGAGAGTAAACATGGTGAGTAACGCCAGTCACATTGGATGCAGCATGTAATAACTTGACTTGTGACACAGGCACCAAAGAGCCTGGCTAAGGAGTTGTCTCTGGTGATGTACTTACTGATGCTTCATCTTCGTGAGATCGTATGGAGAAACAGCTACAGGGAGACTATCATCCACAGTGGTTCAAGAGCACTCTCCTTAAAAAGAATCAATGGGAAGAAGGGATTGTTAGGGAGTCACATCTGCTCTGCTCCTGCCTGATTGCAGCACATTTTTTGGCAAGGAAACTCCTTTATTCAGGATTTGTGCAGTGCCTTTTGCACCCTTCTTTTTTGCTCACCTGTTAATCACGCTCCAGCACAGATACCAAGAACTTCAACCACCCACAATGCATGTGCATCAATATACTCTCATCACTAAGGAATCTAGCCAGTGCTACATAGGAAAGCAGGAACAGGACGTGGCAGGCTCTCCTCAGTGACAGGACTGTGTATTCCTGCACTGGTGTCTGCAGAAATGCCATAAAATGCAATTAAAAGAACAGTCCATGCAGAAATTGCAAAGAGAGGAATATGCCTTTTGCTTGCAACCCCTGAACTCACCCCACTGTTGTATCAGCAGTTCTGCTCTTGGTCTTTCTTCCTCAGTCTAGCCCAGACACAACCTGCTCACTCATCCTGCAGGTTGATGGGATGCAGAGTCTCATCCAAGCACAGGACCCTCAGAGCATCAGCAGGACATCCCGCCTGGCCAAAGCATCTGGAAGCTTCTGGCTTTTGCAAGTCATTGTCGTCATCTTAAGCAACATCAGAAGGAAATTGCTTTAGAGCACTGGCATTACTGTTAGAAAGTGTTTGTTGACAGTGCAATGACTGTGCCATTCTCATGAACCTCAGGCAGGGTTAGATTTAAATTCAAGCTCACCTGCTTTACTACACATAAGTTGGCCAACTGAGCTGAAAAATGGTCTCAGCATCACCAGGAGCTAGGAGTTGCTTAAAAGTTACTACACAGCTTTGCACACAGATTAATAAAGATGGACCTAGTTTAGCTGGGGGCAAAATGCAGTTAAACATCTACATACCAGTGTAATTACAAAGAGGTTGGTGATTAAACACCATTACTGGTCTGGACCTAAACTTGACAATAGATTGCCAATAGATACACACACTTTTGCCAATGAGTTACACAATCCTGCACTCCTGCAGCTCCCAAGGACCTGCATATTTCCTGCTCACATGGCCTGATGGAATCACCAGGAGGGTGCTCATTTATTCCAGCCAGTGAAAGCAGCACAGACTGGAAGTTTCCCATGCAGGAATGAGACTGATCCATGCGTCATCCTCCACATATGTCACTGCAAGACGCATCCCTAAATATAGTACTTGGAAATGAACTTGCTAGCAGACTTGACAGCTTTTACTAAAATCAGGTGTGCATTAGGAACATGCTAATTGCTGGGGCATTTTTTCCCAGTTTTTCCTCCTTGACAGCTCACAAGATGCTAAGTCTCTACCTTCTCCACCCCAGAGATGAGCTTAAATTCAGTGTAAGGAAAGAAGATAAAGTGAGAAGTTCCCTTTTCCTTCTCAACGAATCCCACCACCAGTGATTTCGTCCCAGTCCCCAAGCAGATGGCATCAAGATACATGTTGAACCTGAAGTCTGGATGAAGGAAAGAGGGACAGACAAATGTCATTATCATAAGGACAGTTAGCTCTCCCATCCTTTTCCAGTTGGAGGCTGTCCCATGCTGGTGAAAGGCAGGGGTGGTGGCCTTCTCAGGCCACCAAGCTCATAGAGGGCACTTAAAAAGCAATGAGAACATCCCCATGTCCTGCTGGAGAGAGGTCCCCAGTGCAGGCAGAGATGAGGTGGACATCACTGGGCTGCCCTCCAAGGGTGTTTCCTTGCAGGCAGCTCCATCACTCCAGGCTGCTGACTCACCCTGACAGCTCAGGATGCTCAGCCTCATCCTCCTCTTAGCCAAAAGCTATTTCTGTCTCCCAAACAACCACAGGAGCAGCTCTGGGAGGCAGAATAAGAAACTGCTGCAAACAGAAGGTGATCATCAGCCCCATCTCATGGGGCTTAAACCAAACCTTGTCCAAACTCTATGGACAAACAGTGATGCTCTAGCCACAGGATGACACGCTCAGAAAGGCTGGCTGAGATCCTGATGTAGCTGAGAGCAACCTGAGGCCTGGCCAGCCCAAGCAGGGTATTTGGTTGTTGCTGTTTGAGAATGATGTTCATTAAGACCTGGAGTCAGGCACAGCTCCCCTCTCCTCATCAGTGCTCTTCTGGAGTGGCTGATACTGAAAGGAGATGGGGGGGAAAGAAACCATGGAAAATACAGCTTATTTGGCACTGCTGATTAAAACCAGTTTGAGTTTGATTGTGAAAGGCTCAAGGTTGATTCAGATCTGGTCTCTTCCATCCACATGAGGTTTGTTTTAAGGAGCGTGGAGTTATATGAATCTATTAATGATTTTCTCCTTATAACAATGCCTGGGTTTTCATAGGGCACTTCCCAGCCACGTGTCTGGAAACGCATGGCAAATGGGCAGTTAGTGTCAGCCCTGGTCTGGAGATGGAGAAACTGCAGCAGAGTCTGAGCAAGACAATTCCTAAACAGCAGTGCCAAACCCCTTCGTCTTGGAAACACTGGAGCCTTCAGGGAGGCCACTGCAACCACTGACATCCCACAGCCAGCACTGTGGGAACCCGCTCCATCAAAGCCCTCATGGTCACAGGTTTAGAGGCTCCTGTCCTTTTATACAGCACCTTGTTTCTTTTCTCCCTCTGTGTTTTAATGGGAAAAGCTGGGAAGGTTAAAGCTGAGAGGAGACAAACAGCGATAATCTTATTTGAAGCAAGTCTCTAAGTCTTTACTTGGGCTGTGGGGGAGTCAAGAGAAAATATATGTTAGGGTATATTAAATTATTAGCATTATATGTTGGGGTATATTAAGTTATTAATACTATGCCTAGGTTGATATTAATCAGATTCCAGAGACATATAATAACCACGTGCTGCCTCCTCAAATATACATGTGTGGAGGCATGCATTTAACAAGCAGACTCACACAGGGAAGACCATAGCCTGCAGGGAAACAGGGTCCTCAGGCTGGACACGCTGCATTCTGGGATGCCTGGCCTTGTATGGAGAAGTAACGGAGGTGTGGGTAATGGCAGACTGGTAGGGGACAGGGCAATGGGGTGAGACTGGAGCCAGCCAGGGACCCAACGCTGTATTTCACTTCCCTGCTGATCCCCAGAAACCTGCCTATAGATCACCCTGCAGGAGCAACACGTGGATCTCATTCTGTAATGCCAGGCCTGGCTGCGCCCTTATCCACATCAATCCCACAGCCCTGACAGCAGCCTTTTCATCATTTAACTGGGGTTTGTGGGGAAGAGGGAGAGGAGGGAGCGGAGGCTTGGAGGGAGAGATGGGCTCAGCAGCAGGCACAGCTCCTCTCTCCTCGTGGCCTTTATCCGCCTTAATAATCCTCCCTCTGTTTCATGTATCAGCTGATAACATGTGGGTCCTATTTCCCCCACCCTCCCCACATCTGCATGAGATGGCAGATGGAGCTGTCCCATCATCTGAGGCATGTTAGCAACTGCTCTTGATTAAGAAAGAAAAAGCCCTCTCGCTGTAATGACTGCAAGGCTCGGATGGGCTTCCCATGCCATCACCAAATGCCCATTGTGGCTTCAGCTTCAGGCCCTGCAGCACGAAGCCTTGGAGCTTACCCTTTCCTCCCTTCAGTTTCTCACCTGGGGCTCACTAGCACAGAGAAAACCCTTCCTTTTAATTATTCTCCCAGCTTATTTGATCTAATTAAATACATATGACTAGTGCTAAATAATGTCAGTGCAATTAGGAATAAATCCATGTCTTTTGGGGTAGATTTTGAGAGAGGGACAGTCTATCATCCAAAGTATTTTTGCATGGAAAACCTGGGCTTTTGTTTAAAAGAATAGAAACTAAACCCAGAAAGTCTTCAATCTGAAAATCAGGAGGGAAAATGAAGCAAAACAATCTCCCACTTTTTGGGGTGGGAATTAACAGAAGTTATTTGGGGTGTGAGGGTGGGATGCAGCAGGAAGAAAACACTGAACAAGTGAAGTAACAGAGACAGTGTCCGTCACACTGGGGACATTTTCACCATCAGATATTTCTGCCTGATTCCTGCAATATGAAAACATAAGAAGCCTGAAACAGACCCAGAAGAAGTTTCCCATTTCTTCAGACTTCCTGCCTTACCTGTTGCCACTGTTGTCCTCCAGGTTCCCGACAAAGGCAAGTGTTGAAACCGCATCATTTGGAAACAGCTGGAAAGATGGGGAGGGGAACATGAACAAGAGAACAAGAGGACTCGCATCTCCTGAGACCTGGTCCAGCAATTCCAAGAGCTTCCAGCACTTCTGCCTGGCTCAGTTGCTGTGAGTCCTGCAAGTTTCTCCTTCCTGAAAAAAACCAGATAAGGACAACTCAGTGCAGGGCTCAGGACCGGGTCTGTCCTGGAATCACCCCCCCAGCACCACCAGTACCATTTTCCTTCATTTCACTTCATTTATCTACCAATTCACTTTGGTGGATGATGGCCCAGATCTCCAGCCTTCCCCTTGCATTGCCACCCATCGAGCGCACATCCACAGGTTTTCTGTGGTTGAAGCTGCTTTGCCACCCTCCCAGCTCTGGATTGGGATCAAGGGGAGGGTGATGCCAACCAGCCCCATGCCAGGGCCCTGGGGTAGGTGTCTGTGCCCCATAGCAGCCCTCGCTAAACCCTTCACCAGGCTGGGAAATCTCCATTAATCCCATTAGAAAGCAGGTCCTGCTCTTTGAAGCTGCCACAAAGCAGAGCTTGTGAGAAGTGAAGAGTGAAGAAAAACTGAGAAGACAAATACAGAAGAAAAGATACTGATGGGGGAGGAGATGGTGAATGGCAAGAAGGGAGTTAATGAGAGCCAGAAACGCAAGTTGGAGAAATGTTGATTTTAGTTCGCATTAATTGCAGGAAAGAGCCTATAAAGTGTGGTAAAACATTATTAAGTACCACTCTGCAATGCCAGCTTTGTGCCAGGCATCCCTTGACGCAGGTGTATTATTCCTAGTTCCCCAGGTATAAATAAATAATTCCTTTTCCACATCTTTTTTTTTATGGTGGCATTTCATTATTTTTTATTGCCATATTGTTACGGCTCCAACTGCTCCAGAACACATTTGGAGATCATCCAGGGAGGGAACACGTGTGCACACGTGTGTGCGGATGTGTACATGGGTTGGCACACGTGAGCTGGGTGCACGGTGAGGTGTTTTGGATCACGGCATCCCAGGGGAGCATGCAGAGCCTGATCCCTGCACCCACGGGTCAAAACAAGGCCTTACCTGTGATCCAAGCTCTGACAACGATGTTCAGATGAATATAGGAAGGAAAATGATAGCCATGTTTATGGGCATCACATGAGGGAACCACTCTGCAAATCCAGAGGGAACAGCTGTAACAAAGAGGTCATGAGCTTTAAGATCCCTCCCAACCCAAACCATTCTATGATTCCTGAGAGAGGGATTGCCCTGGGATGGGATGTTTTGGAGGGTACCACACTGGTATCATTGTCATCCCATTTATCTTGATGTCAGGGACACAGAGCTGGGGTTTTCCTAAGATATCCCATCCATCCATGACTCCTGCTTGCATGTACTGAGATTAGAAAAGAGAACCTGTATTCTACTCCACTTTTAACTCTCTGCTCATGATCTGCCCATATGCTCTTCCCAGCATCATTTCACACAGGCTCCGGTACTGGCTCTGTTAAGAACGAGGGCAGATCACATTCTTCCTGAGCAATGTTTATATCAGCTTTTTGGGGCTTGTTTTATCAAGTCTCTCACTTCTCAGAAGGAGACTCAGCAGGGAGATAAATGCTGGATGTGATTCCTCTTGCTTCAGATGAGGCCACCAAAGACGCTGGGGGAAGCAATGATTCCCTGGTAATGCCTCAGTCCAAGCTCTGACCTGGAACCGTGGGCTCTGCAAATACGCATAAATCTTCAGCTCACATCCAAATCACTGCAAGGTTCAGTGAACACAGCCAAACTGCCAGGGAATCGAACCTAAGCTTTAATCCAGCTCTGGCACGATTTATGACCTCAGGTGGAACCCATGCAACGCGATGGTCTCAGCCCCACAGCAGAGGATGCTCGCCTGCCCCAGCCCCACTGTGGTTGCATTTGATGCTGAAGAAGCAGAGGTGGAATTAACCAGCACAAACACATCCAAACCCTGTTCATCTTGTGTTGGGTGGAAGTAGCTGGCACACCAATCAAACCAGGGTCCTGCTCCAGTCAGAGACAGGAAATGAAACAAATCAAAGAATAATAAGGGCAAGCAAGCAACAAAGTTGTCTTTTCTGACTGAAAAGCAGTGATTCACTACCTTCCCCCCTTGTCAACAGCGTGTCCCTAAATGCAGAATCCCTCAATAGTGCTATCATATTACAGGAGGTTTATCATGGCTTTTTAATACTTATTTCCCTATCAAAATATTATCACAGATAGTAGGGGACACCA